CCTTTTCTGAAGGTGCTGGCTTTGATTATTAGTCAATTCTCAGATACTACCCACTACTCAGTACCTTGCCCAAGTGGCCATTCTTGGGAACAGATTTTACACAAACACCTCCAGTTTAGAAATGATCACTAAAAAATCTTTTGTGGGAATTGAGGAACTGGGCATGGAATTTCATTTAGTGAAAAGACTGGTATTGAAATTTTCTGCGTGAGTAAGAAAACAGCAAGATACAGCACGATTAAGCAATTACAAACATAAAAACACATAAATATTTGCTACTTGTATTGTGTTACTGTACGTAATCCAAAAGATTGGTCGAAATACAGGTGCAATTGATTGTTCACTCGGTGTTCACCAGCTGAATATTTCTAAGTAACACAACGCTTGTAGTATCTGATTAGGAATTGTGACAGATTCCGAACTTTTCCTTCCTCTGCTGAAGGTATTGATTCATTCTGAGGTGCAGCCTATGTGTACTCGGGACATTTAATTATTTCACCAAGTGCCTATTCATATGAATCACTTGGGTGTCATAGCCTTATATGACCCTAAACAACTGATGTCCAGACACATGCATGTTGCTCCTACAGCCACTGGACACTAATCCTCAGTCGGCCACCTGCTGATTTGTCCCAGCTCATGCAGCTGAGGCCAACTGTACCATTCCAATTACCAACTCCACTGATTTCCACTAACTCAACAAGTAAAACCTGGGATATAGTGGCAAATGCTATCTTGAAAACTTTTACAGGAGCCTTTAAGTAGATATTTGGATTCAATCTGTATTTATTAAAAAATAAATAAAATCTGCCTAAGCTTAGAATAATTGCTCACCATTTAAATATAGAAGTAGGCAAGTATCACAGCAACCCAGCAGAGGAGAGAAGCTGTTCTCGGTTTGAATTGGCTGACGTGGAACAAGAGCTGCACCTGTTACTCCTATGCCCTAAACACCACAATCTCCAGGAGCAGATGCTCTCAGCAATCTTGTTCAAAATAAATCATCAACATGGGAATTAGCTGGTAATTATAATCTTCCATAACATTGAAAAAAAATACTGTTTGTTTTATTTCCTATTCCCCCATGGATTTTTAAAACAATATTATCATGTAGAATAGAAAACTATAAAGATTCTGAACAAGATTAATTTTCAAAAAAGACAAAGCAATATTAGTTTAGTGATACACAATTAATCAGAATTGAGATATTTTCCTGAAGGGATAGCTTTATCAAATTCAACATGCAGTTTTTCAAATTTTAATTTTGAAAATGATGACTGAAGTATTAATTTCTTATTCTCAGCTTTTTAAACTTTCAATCCTTTTTTTTTCCTTTTAGGGCTTCTTTTATCCCAAAGTAGTTTCAGTTGTCTAATTTATTTTGAATCTCTTCTCTTTTTATGTCTATTGAGATAGAAGGAAAACAATCTCCAATTTTGATCACAGTTTCAAAATTATTTGCATTTCTAACTCGAACACATTCTCCCAACACTTCAAATCTGCACCCTTTTCTGCCCTTCCTCACTTTTGAAACTTATATATTTTTCAAACGTAATCTTGGTGTTATCTAACCATAAGAAAGGAAGGCCTGGTACCTAATAGTTATTTTTTTTCTTTATTCATTCATGGGATGAGGGCGTCACTGACAAGGCAGCATTTATTGCCCATCCCTAATTACCCAGAGGGCAGTTTAGAGTCAACCACTTTGCTGTGGGTCTGGAGTCACATGTAGGCCAGACTAGGTAAGGATGGCAGTTTCCTTCCTTAAAGGACATTAGTGAACCAGATGGGTTTTTCCCAACAATCGATAATGGATTCACGGTCATCACTAGATTCTTAATTCCAGATATCTTTGTTGAATTCAAATTCCACCATCTGCCATGGCAGAATTTCAGCCTGGGTCCCCAGAACATTATCTGGGTCTCTGGATTAACAGTGCAGCGATAATACCACTAGGCCATTTCCTCCCCATTAAGAAAAATATGCTACGAGAATGAAATTACACATGTATCTAACATTCGCTTAATGTCTCAAACTGCTTTTCATGTAACAAATTACTTTGACTTATTGTATTGGCTAAAGTGCAGAATGGAAATCTGCAACTTCCTCAAGTGGCTACGAATGCTGGACTAAGTGATTGTTTTGCAATTGATAGTGATAATTTTTTTTTAGAAAGGGATATCGAGGCATACGAAGAAATATTGAGTAATGGAATTATACACCAGCCGTGCTCCTTTTGTAGCGACAGTTGAAGCTTTTCAATGTATTTTACTGTACTATTAACTGCAAAATGCAAGTGCCAATGAATCATTCAATTCAAGTGGCAAATCTTTGAATGCAGCAAAATTCTCCAAAGAACAGAGATGCAAACATAGAAATATAGAAACAGCAGTAGGTCAGTCTCCTCAATCTCTCTTCATAAAACAATCTTGCTATCCCAGGGATTAATCTCATGAACATCTGTTCACTTCCTCAATGGCAAATATATCTCTCCCTAGATGAGGGGATCAAAATTGTACAAAATACTCTAGGTGGGGTTTCATTATATCTCTACCTGGAATGTACCCAAATGTCACTATGATGAAGGCCAACAACCATTTGCCTTCCTAACTGCTTGCTGAACCTGTATAGTAGTCACTTCAGCAACCCACATGCCCCAACCGTAATAACAAATCAACCTAGTTTTGGTCATATTTCTGAGGCAAGATTAATAGCAAGGCTGCATGATTGTTAACATCCACCAGATCAAGCAGACAGGACTTTGATTTTGTGTCATATACAAACAGATTGGTTGATTTACCTTAACTTTTTATTTTCCCTGTTCAACTTGTGTGGAGTCTAACATTGCGAACGTTTGAACTTGATTAGGGTTTTTTCATTAAAAATAGTTCCTCAAGCAATGACGGAATTCAGCCTACTTGTATCAACACATTTCAATGCAGCTTTTTTCTTTATTATTTGTGGGTAGTACAGATTTCTTTTTATTTATTTATCTATCGGATATTGGCATTACTGACTGTGCCAGCATTAATTGTCCATCCTTAACTACCTGTGAGCTGAGTGCCTCGTTAGGCCATTTCAGAGGGCAGTTAAGAATCAACCAAGTTGCAGTGAGTCTGGATAAAAACTGAATGAACTGTAAATCAGGAATAAAAACAGAAGTTGCTGGAAAAGCTCAGCAGGTTTGACAGCAATCTGTGAAGAAAAAAAAATCAGAGTTAATGTTTTGGGTCCAGTGACCCTTCCTCAGAACTGATGGTAGCTAGGAACACGTTGATTTATGTGCAGAATGTAGGGATAGGGAGTAAATGATAGTTGGGGATAGAGCCCAAAGAGAGAGATGAGCAGTTGGACAGACAAAGGGCTCCCAGCCAAGGGTGAATAGCTGTTAATGGATACTCAGTGTACCTGTTTGTCTATCCAACTGCTCTTCTCTCTCTTTGGGCTCTATCCCCACCTATCCTTTACTCCCTATATCCTCCCCTTCCCTACCTTCTGCAATATAAACCAATGTTTTCCTAGCTATCATCAGTTCTGAGGAAGAGTCATTGGACTCGAAACGTTAACTCTTTGATTTTTTTCTTCACAGATGCTGCCAGGCTTGCTGGGCTTTTCCAGAAACTTCTGTTTTTGTTGCTGTGAGCCTGGTGTCACACGTAGTTCAGACTGGGTAAGGAGGGCAGATTTCCTTCTCTAAAGGACATTAGTGAACCAGATGGACTTTTATTACAATTGATAGTGGTTCCATGGCCACTATTTGGATAGTTTTTTTATTCCAGATTATATTGAATTCAACTTTCAGTATCTGCCATGGTGGTATCTGGACTCCAGTACCCAGAACACTGTAGCAGGTTTATACCATTATACCACACTGGTCCAGTGATATTACAACTATGCCACTACCTCCCCTAGCAAATACAACATTTATTGTTTATTTCTGGTTACAATTGGGACATTAAAGCCCCAATTTCTGTTTCTGAGTTAGGTAGCTTGAGTTGGGAAATCTTCCAGTTTTCATGCTTGATGGGAGAAACTCTCCAAATGTTGAGCTTTTCACTTTGGAGAGGGATGGGATTGTGGGATGAATTAGGCAAGCCAGCTCTGGTCCCACATTGGAGATGGCCAGAGGGACTACCGCGTGTTGCGGCAGTCTGCTTAAAAGCAAATTACAATCTGAATTGTATTCTTAAACATTATGCCATCCACACCACACCCTCCCACCCCTTCAGTACCCCAACAATTCCACACAGCCCATCAATCCCTATTAATACTCATTCACCTGTATGGTCGATCATACTGTCCATGCCAACTTAATGCTAGCTCATGCCTCCCACCTACCACACCCTGTCCATACAATCACCACCACCTTCCCGTAACACTATAAGCACTGCTTTTCATTCATCCTCTTTTAGCTGGTATAAGCAAGCATAAAAGTGAGCGCACTATAGTAATACTAATTTAAATGCAAAAATTGAATCACTTTGCAGAGTGAGGCCTCATGATACCATATATGGAGTACTTGTGACCATTTCTATGAAGTAAACTTTCAGAAGAATCAGTTGGCTTCCTTGACCGCAGCATAGATTTGCCAAAATCATAACTGGACGCCAAGAATTCAATTATTAGGAGAGATTTCAAGATGAGGGTTATATTCCTTGAAAATCTGAAAGTTTAAGGGAGGATCTAATTAACATTTTCTGGTTATTAAGGAGAACAGGTAGGGCAAATAGTATTCGATTTCCACTGCCCTGGAGTTCAGAATTAGGAGACACAATCTAAAAACTAGAGTCAGATCTTTCGGGAGCGAAATTAGGAAAGACTTCTACACATAAAGGATAAAAAAAGTGTGGAACTCCATTCAATAATAATCACTCGTTAATTAAAAAATATTGATGTTATACTCGTTTGAAGATCAGGGTCAAAGACCCATGCATCACGGCGGCGTACCATAACATGTCCGAACAGGCTAAAAAAGATAAACTGATTTTTCTCGCCCAAAGATGTTTGAGGACGTGGGACTGGCTCAAAGTTCAGATCAGCCCTTATCTTCTGGAATGTGTGCGAGGGGCCGATTCCTCCGGCGAGGTTCCATTCGGTGCCGGGTAGAGTAGTAAATGAGTTAATTGATGCAATGAAGAGTTTAAAAAAACTTTTGAGACAGGCAGAAGCATACAGCGAGACAGTTGCTCTCTCAGGCGATGCCGCAATCGAGGGAAGGAAGCAGACACTGACACCAGCCACTTCCTTCCTAACTACCCACCCCCGCCCGTCCTCCTCCGCGATCTCACGGCTCGGTCCCCATCCCCACGTCGCTTGATTGACAGTACCTAGCCCGCCCTCACCCCGTGCCCTCCAAGCGGATTGGCTGAAGGGCAGGCATCGCCCTGCCCGCTGCGGAGCTCGTG